ATGGATGGATATTAAGGGAATAATCCTAACTACAGAATGCTTAAAATCAACACATTGTCCCTAAATCATCAAAATCCCATCCTTCATACCATCCCTGGCATATCCCCTGAGGGATTTTATGTTATATGGAGTCCAAAATAAGCAGCAGTGATTGACAGTTCCTGGGTCCAAACCAGAAGACGAGGTACAGTTTGTAGGATAGTTGAAAAACATATAGATTAATCAAATGCAAAAAAAAGGTGTCCTGATAAACAAAAGACGGATTTGACGAATTGCACATCATAACGTATTTTTAGTTATGCTAACAGTTCCTTCAGCTCCAATCATGCTAAAATTACAATTCTAGTGTAACTGCTAGGGATTAACGCCTTACTGAATCTTTCTTCTTCTTTTTTTTAAATGCTGTTCTTTAGTATAGCTCTATATACAGCACATCCATATTTGGGGATCAAGCTAAGCTTGACAGACTCATGTGCTTGGTAAGATATGAGAGAGAGCTTAATGAACTATCAACAGCAAAACCTAAGAATCTAGTTAGAGTTTTGAGTACAGAGAAAGTCGCATGTGTGACCGTGATTCTGTTCTTATGCACCTTTTCACAAATCTCATTTTAATTTTCACAAGTGTGTGAAATATGTTCCTATCTACATAATTATTTTTTCCCACTCTTTACCCAATTTGATGCATTAATCCTACTATGATGAAAGTGTCCATTAAAAATTGGGAAGTTCTGACTGGTGGACTAATAATTGGCAAGTGAGGGTAAATGTGATAAATACAGATCAAAGTGAGTAGATCATTTCACTTTAACATGTTTTTTTTAAAGTCTCAATGGGGAATGCATCTGACCAAGCTAAATGTAGGCATACATATGTGTGTGTTTGTGAGAGAGAGCGAGTGTGTGTATAAATGCCAGGTTTTGATCAAAGAATTGGTTTAGTCAGTGGACGTGTAGCAGGGAGCAGCTCTGTCTTTGTAATTATACTAACAAGTAGATGAAGCACCGTGACAGCTCGTTTTAGTCAAACATTTTTTTCTACTTCATTTCTTTTATATTTTAATTCAAATTTCATTCTTTTCTGTTTTGTCTTTTTCAGTCTATCGCTTGCATCCTGAAAAATATAGTCATTGTGCAACGGACTGTTTCCTTTTTTGGATCAGATATGAAGTGTCTGTTACCATACTCCCTTTAAACTCTATTTAGCACAGCATTAGCACATGCTAAGTAGCTACCAGACAGCAGGCTATGAAGTCTGGAGTCATAATCTTCTGAGTGACATCTCAAGAAGGCTTTGCTTCCAGTCTGTCTCTCCTCTCCCTTACTCCCTTCTTCTCTCCCTCCACTTCTTGTCTTGGTGTTTCTTTCCTTTTTTCCTCTCTTGTTGTTTTCTCTAGAGGGCTGTCATCAGAAGTTCAACACAAGCTATGTTTCTGGTGTCATTGTTCTGTGCATAAAGACTTCTGCCTTTGAGCGAAGCATCTTGATGTAATAGGGTCAGCAATATTTCATCATCAGGATTTCAAGGACTTCTCCAAAGAAGTCCGTTTTAATTAAAACATTTTGCTCTCATGTATCCCAAACTCAATTTGACTGCTGTTAGTCAAGTAAGAATAGCATTTATTAAAACAAAAAACAAAAAAGTTTGGGAAATAAATAATGAAACACCCGAAGGTAAAATCTGCTTGTGTCTTTGAGGTGAAGAAGTTCTCCTGAACATTAGATGTCTCTTTGTCTTCTGTCTCTTAATTGTTGTGTTTTTGTGTACCTGCTGTTTTAGCTGTTTCTTTTGTCCCTTATTTTGTGTCCTCATTCTCCTTGCAAAATACTCTGTCCTGCATCTTCTCTCCTCCATTCAAGCTGCCCTGCAGAGACGAATGTGGTATTGATCTAGATATATTTATAGAGCGTGATGGGGAGCGTGAGCGGGATTTCTGCGTGACAACTCCAAGAGCACTGGGGGGTCTTGAAGGATGAAAAGTGGGTGATCATCCTCACAAACTGCAGGAGTGTAAATGATGTGACTCAGTTGGCTTCAAGGCAGCAAGCTGTGTGGGGAACTTTAAACTTATTGCTTTGATACAGCTCACTTTGAAAACTTGCACAGCTTACACAACCCCAGTAACCGATTTATCTTGGTCCTGAATGTAGTTTCAGTCTTCTTTAGAATAAATTCTAGATCAAATGTAATATTGAAGATTCTAGCTCTGCTGGATTAGGCGATGGATGTAGTTGCTGGTGGTAACAATAAATGTGATCTAATAGTCACAGAATCCTGGAGGAAACAAACACTTCTTGAGCCTGGACTAAAACAGACACAACTAGTGTTTCTGTTTATAGCACAACCAGACACATTTATGTTCATTCAATATTTGGTCTCTTTTCATCACGCCAAGAACAAATGTGATCTGACTTTGTCTCATGCCAGTAACTCTGTGCCAACAGCACAGCTAAGCAGCTTTGCTGTGATGGCACAGGAAAGTTGTTAACCTGGCTCATAACCTTCTTCCATTCCCGTTCATCAATTATTCTCTTCTAAACCACCTTAAGAACTTGTTTGTTTTTGTACATAAAATCAACAGCTGCTATTAGTTGTAATTATGGATTGTGGTGTCAAATATTTTCCTGTGACCTCACAATAAAACTCACCCAGTGTTTCACTTGGTGAAGATGCAGCAATGGCTAATGATTTTTGGACAGTTGGTCAGCTGGTCCTAAATGCTGCAATAATTTTAAGGTGTTTTTATTTTGTGGCAGTTCTGGTTAGCGTTATAACCTTAACTTATAAGATAAGAGGCAATATATAGTGCAATTATACTGTTGTTACTAGTATCCAGGAGAGTCCACATAGATGGTATGCCACATAGACCTGTACCAAGTAGTTGTTAACTGCTGCTGTGATGTGTTCCACTGCTTTGTAATGTCCTGTTTTGATATTTCTTGGTGTTTTACAATCAGAAATCAGATGTGACATAAGAGCAGTGGAATCTGACTGTAAAGCTACACGTTCACTGGCTACTGTAACGACATACTTGTGTAATAACAAGTGTTAATAGAGGTCAAGTCAGAAATCCTTTTTCTATTTTGCATAGGACCAGAAGTCTTTTTGCAACCACAGTAATTGCCCATGGTGACCATTATTAGGAATGCAGGTTTAAGGTACTTCTGTACTGACATCACTTCCCATGATACTGGCATGTGTGTTTTGGACACTCCATGAGAGTCCAGAGTTTTCACGTTACCCCACAGTGAAGCCAAAAGTTTGAAATCTGAATCCTGAATGGGGAACAAGCTTAAAGAAATAGCAGCTCCCCTCACTCCTCACACACAAAAAACTTTCAGCACCTCATCTCCTGTCCTCAGGCTGCAGTCTGCAGCTCCTCTGCACTATGTTAAAATAGCTTGCTGTGCATTTCCCACTAAATAGACAGATACTCAGCCTGAAGCCTTCAAGGTTCCTTCCTGGAAGTAAATAAGCTCTTCATATTTTGGTTACGTACACACCCCTTAAGCTGCAGTCCTGACAAACACCTATATATAGATAAATTATAATAACTCATGCTCTCATATGGGTGAACACTGACAGCTTCCAACACCTACCAAACTATAGTTACCATTATTCAGGAGAAGAGAAGAGGACATGCATGTCACAGTGATTTATTTACATTTAGATATCACATGTTTATTTGAGTTTAACCTAGTTTATATTCCATGCTGTCTTCAGTATGGTAACACCCGTCCACAGTGCTATGCAAACAGGCAGAAGTAAAATATTCTTCCCTCATGATGAATTACTGCGGTGCTTAGTTCATTACTAGATTCATGTCAAGTCAATGGATTTTCAACAATACCTGTTTAGACTGTACTGAAGCATGCTAAATCCACTGTCACCGTGTTGCACTGCAAAGCTTGAAACTCCACTATGCATTATCCATGACTTCAGGGCTCAGCTGTAGCTAACCTACAGGAAATACTGATATGTACATAAGTACGTTGTCTTTCAAGAAACCACAGGAAACAATGCTACTAGGTAGCTACATTGTAGCAGGTAGCTGTTCACTCTGTCTGCCAACTGGTGCCACACACCTGGATTACAGTGGATTCTGAACTGGAACTGCTGAGTCTTGGGTCAGACAGATGAACAGTGACTGAGCTAAACAATAACAGGTCTAGTAAGATTTTAGGCAGTCCAGAAAGAAGGTGTTGAGAAATGAACAGAAGCAGTGAGACTGCAAATGTTGCTCAAGAGGTTAAGGTGGAAGGTGGGTGTGAGGCAACTGTGTCCTCAATGAAATGATGACCTTATTTTCCTCTTTTGCAGATTTTCAGTTAAAGAAATGATCAAAAAGAAATGTAAAGGAAATTAAAAAAAAATCCAAATAAACTAGAAAAACAACATGTTTTGTTGTAATTATTATCACTATTATTATTATGTTTTTTTTGCAGCATGCCAGAATTGAAACTTGACATTACTGCTCTTGGCTTCCTTACTTATCATTCTTCAATTTTCATCATTTCAAACATACTGAAAAGCACCCTAAAGGTTATCTCACGGCACAGACTTGTTCAAAGCACTTTCTTTACTATGATGATCTAAGCAGAAAAGTTGTAATCTAAAGAGAGTTCTTCATAAATTTTATAAACTGAAAAGACTTATTGATGTTTGGTGCGTTGAATTTCAGAAGAGTCTGATATATATATCATTTTTCTTTTCTATTTTATTTTAGTTCCTTCTTTGTTGCGTTCTCAGTGTTTTTTTTAAATCCCTATCTTAGATGAATTTCTCCTGTTACATCTTTGTTTCACCCTCAGACTGCCTCTCATCAAAGGCTGAGGACCGACTTTTCAGGAAGCTGTTTAGACGATATAATCAGTTCATCAGACCAGTGGAGAATGTCTCTGACCCAGTCACTGTGGAGTTTGAGGTCTCCATCTCCCAGCTGGTTAAAGTTGTAAGCTTTATACACACACACACACACACACACACACACACACACACACACACACACACACACACACACACACGGGTTTTTAAAGACTGCAATGTAATGCTGAAAGTGTTTTAAGCATTTTTCTACATTTTTCTACATTCTGCAACTGTCTTGTTTTATGTATTTGTCCAAATGTATCTATGCATTTGTCACTCATTGCAACTTCTCAACATTTTATGATAGTCTGTGTGAACAGTGAGTTGTCATTCCAAGAACATCTTGATCACATTTCCTACCTTTGAAACTGAAGAGCAAGAAGATAAGCCGTGGAACGAGAGAAGTGAAAGCGTAAAGTGAATGCAGACTTTATTTAGTCTGTTCAATTTCACAGATTCCAAAAATGCCTCACAGTGTTTTTATACAATGCTGCTGTGCTTTGGCAATGTTAAGTTCAAAACTGGTGATGGAGGTGGGGGTGCTGTGCAATCCCCAGTGAAAAGAGGTTTTCACCTCAGAGTGGAAATCCTGAGATTAAGAGGAAATTGCCAGCAGGGGCCTTTTTCCAGACTGGATTGTGAGGTACCTCTATCTGCTTGCTCAGCGAGGTGAGATTAATTTAAAGGTGAGCGCCTGGATGTGAATGTCAGGGTGTGGTGGCACTGCATGAATGTGTCATTATGTGTGTGTTTATGCACACATTTTCACCTGTCTGTTTGTCTTCAAGACATGGCTTTTACAAAGTTCTTTAAGTCGATTCTGTATAATGTAAAAACATTAAGACTGCAAATCAGAACTGAATAAGGACAAGGCGTAGAGGATGTAAACTAAGTAACCTTTTCATTTATTAGGAACTTGCTCACTATTGATCCTCTCGGTTAATCATATATAACAGAGGACTAAGATGTGCACGTTTCTTGTAGTCCCTTCAGTAGGCTGAAGCAGCAACACAGTCTGTCTCACACATGCACAAGCAGACAGACACAAACACACCCACATCTGCTCGCTAATGAGCTCTTTTCCTACTCTGTGTCTCTGCAGGATGAGGTGAATCAAATCATGGAAACAAATTTATGGCTCAGGCATGTGAGTAACCATGTACACACACAAACACAGATAAACACATCACACACAGCATGCATTAACAATTTCACTGACCTACCTTACAGTTGAGGTCTGCAGAGAGCCGGGTAAGTGAAGCCCGATGAGGTTCATATGTTCTAACACATTGTTTACACGTACTAAGCAGTATGGGATGCTGCAGTCTGTCTTTTAGCTGTGACTTAATGTTACATTTAGTTGGAATAAACAGGAGAACACGAGTGGATAAGAAAACAAAGACAGCTCACATAAACACGGAAATGGAATCAGCCCAGTGATCAATGTTAGCATTATTGCTAGTCACGCTCTGCAGCTCAGCAGATCTATAGCTACAGACCCTGAACTCTTGACCTCACATTGCCAGCCAATAACATTTTCTCTCTTTCACCTCGTTGATAACATTTTGTTTCCTCTTCCCTTTTCCCTCCACTATTAATCTGTGCTTAAAAGATTACAAATACTTCTTGTAAGCATTATTGATTTATTTTTATCTTTCTTAAATTGGTGGCTAATTGCTCTACAAAGCCAAACATTTTGTAGAATCTGATGTGATTCAGTGGTGCTGCTATCCCCGAGCTTTCCAATTAAAATATATTGAAATGACTGTATAGTACAATCTCATATATTGTTTGTAATGGCGTGGCTGTTTTGTTTACAACAAGTCCTTGCTAATGACAAGCAGTGCCAACACCACAATCACTGACAAAGACACTGGATCACAGCAGTGGGTTTACAGTGGAAGCCACTTTAGAAATCTGCCCCTTGATGTATTTATTGCAACTGTTCTGCAGTTTGACTGCAGGGGATTCTTTATTCAATAGCCTTAACACAATATTTTTAAACATCCTAGCTGTGTACTATTTGAAATCTAGCTCCACTGACTACTTTATGTAAGTGGGAGGAAAACTTTAATGTAATACATATACATACAGGTTCTTTGAGTACTGTAGATATGTAGACACATTCAGGTGGGCACACGGGCTTAACCTTATGGTTCAAAGTAAGCTTCTATCAAAGACTAGAGTTGCCATAGATCTATTAAAAAATCAAACTCTAAACAAATAAATAAATAGTGAAATACATGTTGAGTTAAATATGCATCAAAATGAACAAATAGCATTTCTCCCTTAAGTTTATTAAGTAGGCAATGAAACAAGTAGAACAAACAATAAAACCTATTTCCTAATTAAGCAGTGATAACATCTTTGAATTGGTCTGCCCTGAAAAAGCCTCAGTTTTCAGGATGATACCTGCATATTAATCAGTCTTGAGTGAGTGATCAGTAATTATGATGGTTACTTATTTCCTCAGCAAAAATCAATAAAGATTCAGACAACTGAGCATCTCCCAAATATCCAAAAATATAGGTTTGGCACAACATGTTGCTATTTATAACTAAGCCAATGTATTACATATTTCTTTAAAACAAACATGTAATCCCATTTGCTAAATGTGTGGAAAATACATGAAAAGTATATAGAGTACACAGACATTTTGCATTCTTTGAACCATAGTTTGGGTTAATATTCTCACTATTCCTTTAATTGTGACGAGGAGAAAAAACTGTGCTTTCCCAGAACGCTGGACGTCCAGTGGCATAGCCACAATATAACCATAATTACACTGGCAAGCCTGTTGTTGTAAAGAAACTGCTCTGTACCTGTTTACTGAGGCTAAATAGACTTATATTTTCCTTCTTCTTTCTATTTTTTTATGCTGAAATTTTACAGTCACAACAAGCTGCACAACTGAGCCTATCATGAATTACATCGTTAGCCAATCACAATGCAAACTCTCAAATGAAAAAGGCAGTGTTGCATGAAGTGGTTAATTAAACAGCTTCCAGGTCATAACTGGGTATTAATCTGCCTTTCTAATGAATGAATTCATCTTGAATGACATGCAGATAGCCAAGACTAATGGATATACAGCTCATGAAATGCTACCTACGGATATGTTGAATGCACTCTTCCTTTATTTCTGTCAGGGAGCTATTTATTCATACGCCCCGTCTCTATGCGCTGCTCTTTATGCAGGCTATTGTTGATATCACATAGTGTTATTTTGTCACTCACGAGCTAATGTAGAAGCAAATGAAAGCCTTCAGATTTGTTTTCTCTATAATACCCTTATTTAGCACTACTGTAAAAGATCAAAGAAAGTTCTGCCTGCAGTATAAATATGTTTTTCAAAAATATTCCCAAGAAGGGGGATGTCTCCAGTGACTAATACTGTCTGCAGCACACAATGCAAAATATAAAGCAGATGGTTGAATCCAGAGTCTGGTAAAACTGTTTTTCCCTTCCCTTCCGTCAGATTTGGAATGACTACAAGCTCCGATGGAAGCCTGCAGAGTTTGACGGGATTGAGTTCATTAGAGTCCCATCGAACAAGATTTGGAGACCCGACATTGTGCTCTACAACAAGTGAGGCTGTCAACATCATAACACTCATAAATTATATAGCTTAGCTGGGATCTCTGTTATGGCAACAGTATGCGATGCAATCAGTGATTATAACATAACAATTAAAGCCATAATAATGGCCAAAATAAAAATAACTATTTAAAAGAATTCTTTATAAAATGCAAAGGTGAATGATTATATTGATTTATTATTATTGTGATTTATATTTTCCTGCTTGTAAGTGTCCGTTTCTTTAAACCCAGACCAGAATATGTCGGAAATTTTAAACTTGTACTAGTAAATGTTTTATTACCAATAGATCTTACATAGAGGTAAAACCACTCAGACTTTTCAGTATAATATTAGAAGTGTTTTATATTCCTCTTCTTCATTGTTTTGGCCTGCAATTTTAATGTGGGTTTGCAGGTTTCGTCCTAGGTTTATCAGCCCTGTTTCCAGCAGCAGGCAGATGTTTTTGTTAAAATAACTCCTAAACTCAGTGTACTGACCAACGCCAAACAACAAACAGATCATTTAGCTGCTCTAATGGTGGTAGAAGAGCAGCTAACTGTGAAAGGTGAAGAAGTGAAATAAAAATAAACTGTTGATATGTATTTATCACAAGTCAGCAGAAGAGATGTTCCAAATGAATGCTAATGTCGCTTTTGCGCAACACCTAACATTTTCCCCTTGCTCATGAATCTTGCGGGTAATTTAAAAAAAAGCACTGACAAAGAACCCTCTATGTCATTTCAGCATGAGAATAGCCTTATTACAATATTGCATTAATGGCCATATTCTCTGAAGCACAAATGTCTTTTATACCTTCAGAGTTTCCAACAGAAAATTCCGTGAAATATGCTAATGGCACTCCCTATTGTTCAGGGTCAGTTTGTGCTGCATTGTATTCTCTCAGTTTTAGCTCAGTTAATTGTAGACTCATTACTTCTTTCTACTTACAACAAAGGTTCATATTGTTAATCAAAGGTCGTTTGGTGTTTCACAATAATACATAATGCAGCTTTATTGTTCTCTACTATTTAATCCTAATAATCCTTTGTTCCATAACTGCTGGTTTTATCTTCTCCCCTTTCTTCTGTGCCTTTGTTTTTTCCTTGCATATTCTCTCATTGTTTGACATCTCTACCTTCCACCTAACCTCTGTGTCCTATTCACACCACACGTCTACGTTCTCATGCACTGTTTGCCATGGAAATACATTGTACGCCTTGTTATACATTCACGTTTGTCTTACACAGTGCTGTAGGAGATTTTCTGGTGGAGGATAAGACCAAGGCCTTGCTGAAGTTTGATGGAACTATCACATGGGTTCCTCCAGCAATTTTTAAATCATCTTGCCCAATGGACATCACCTACTTCCCCTTTGACTATCAGAACTGCTCTATGAAGTTTGGGTCCTGGACTTACGACAAAGCCAAGATTGACCTGGTACTTATTGGGTCCAAGGTCAGTCTTTGTAACTGCATTTAAGCCTCGTATAACAATAAACTATCTATTTCATTTTTATCTCCTTCTGCCTAGTACAGACTTCATTCCAGTTAGATACAACAGGCATTTCAAACCCATTAGTTTTTTTTTAATTCACTGTTTATTTTATTAAAGGGCACCTCCATCAATTTTACACAAAAGGTCACTTTGCAAGTAATGAAGAGCTCTATTGGGTCTGTAAAACAAGCTGTATAATGTCTTCTGCAGCCAGTGGCACAGTCAGAGAACCATAACTTCAATGGGGTTCGACAAAAAAGTGATATGTGGCAAATTGCTGTAGGCCAAAGTAGTAATTTCTCAGGCATGACGGCCATATAGAAGTATAGCCTGGAGTCTCAAATAATAATCATTTAAATGAAATCCTTAGTTGAGGAAAATATCTGGGATGGTTGCTATAATGTGTTCTTTTTAAAAAAAAATGTGGATGAAGCTGATAAAATAACTACAGTTTTAATGTTGGTCAAGAATGGGTTGCTGTTATATGCAAGCCCGTTTCCGCCACAAAAAAAAGTAACCATAACTCGAGTTATTAACTCAAAATTTCGAGATTTTTTCTTGAAATGTCGACTTATTAACTCGAAATTTTGAGAAAAGTAACTTGAAATTTCGAGTTAGCTCTGCCAATCAGTAATCTACGTGGAATGTGCACTCAAAACCAGATCAGAACAAATTGCCGCTTTCGAGAGTACGTTCGCTGATAGCAACACCATGTAATTCAGCTAATAACACAAGGATTTCATAATTTGTGAAGCCACACTGAAAATAATCAGCAATTTGTGCATTCATGACTGGCTGTAATACTGGTAGCTTAGCTGTAGCACTTGTAGCTGAGGGCTTCAGCTTCCGGGTAACAACGAAATGACGTCACTTATGTAGATTACTAATTGGCAGCGCTAACTCGAAATTTTGAGTTATTAACTCAAAAGTTTGAGAAAAGTAAGTTGAAATTTCGAGTTATACTTTTGTTTTTAAATTTTAGTGGCGTAAACTATTAAAATATGTCTACGTGGGAACAATTTCCTTAGAAAAAGAGTTCTGCAAAAAAAAAAAATTCTGCTCACTGGTAAAAAGACAGAGTTTTAAAGACCTGAGCATCTAGGAAACAGTGTGAGTTCCATTATTAGGAATATAAAATCAAGCATGTAGAAGACCACATAGGGAACTAAAAGTTGGTGCTGCTTAAACACTTATTTTAATTAACTTCCTGAAAATGCAACAGTCATTGGTAACTGGATATAGCAAGTTTGTTTAATTTATTCATCTGCTATTCAAACAGATACAGAAAACAGGTGAATTTTAAGATTAGCATTTAGAATGTAACTGTTTCATGCATTAACCACTTTGCTTGGACCTAGGGGAGGTCCAGTGGATAATCAGTGGCTCCATGACATTTTTTTAAATTCAAAATTGGTTTGCAACTTCTTGCAAATCCCCATTCATCATATTTACCTGAAGAAAATAATGCGGGTTATACTAACAGAAAAGGGAGCCTTTTTAATATAGCTTGTTGATTCTAAATATGATTTTTTTTCTTCAGATTTTGTGATTTTTAAGATTTTTATCCATGTATTAGGTGAACCTGAAAGACTTCTGGGAAAGTGGCGAGTGGGAAATCATTGATGCTCCAGGCTACAAACATGACATCAAGTACAACTGCTGTGAGGAGATCTATCCAGACATCACCTACTCCTTCTACATCCGGCGTCTGCCACTCTTCTATACCATCAACCTCATCATCCCCTGCCTCCTCATCTCTTTCCTCACAGTGCTGGTTTTCTATCTCCCATCTGACTGTGGAGAGAAGGTCACGCTCTGTATCTCCGTCCTGCTCTCCCTCACTGTGTTCCTACTTGTTATCACAGAGACCATCCCCTCCACATCGCTGGTCATCCCGCTCATTGGAGAGTACCTCCTCTTCACAATGATCTTCGTCACACTCAGCATTGTCATCACTGTTTTTGTGCTGAATGTACATTATCGCACACCAATGACCCACACTATGCCGGGCTGGGTGCGCTCGGTGTTTCTCAAAGTGCTACCGAGGATTATGCTAATGCGGAGACCGATTGATGAGAACAGCAAAGTTGGGGGGCTGGACAGCAGTGGGGAGGCAGGAGGAGGTGGAGGGGGAGGAGGAGGCGGAGGAGGAAAAGGAGGGAGAAAACGGAAGAATAGCTTAATGCAGGTAAGTGGTTTTGCTCACAAAACATCTGGTTGTTGAATGTATTGGAAGTATTTTCCCTTGGTGTTGGGGTCATTACTCAATACAGTCATGTATTACACAGAACACGTTTCTTAAAAGTTGTGCAGTATGTTACTTAATTACTCTCAGGAGAAAGATATTTGTTATGGTACTCGTTACGTTACTTTCATGTTACTGATGAATGATCTGAAATACACCATAATTACAAATTAACAATATAAACCTACAGGCTACAGCCCCGCACACCAACACAAATCCCTGTCCTAATGAGGACACACGTGATCTTTTAGGTATGAACACAAAGCTGACAACACAAAGCAAAGATGAAAACCAGCACAAAGAGACTTTAAAGTGATCGTCACAGTGATTCTACTGTAGAAACACGAACAGGTAGAAACCAGAGGCTGCAGCCTGACTGCTCATGTTAGCATGCTGTTTGTGCAGATGCTTGCAAAGACCCAAAGTTGTGTTAGCAGCATAATGCGGTTGTTTCTGTTCTGGATGAAGTTTCCACTTTATTGTCCTTTTGTGCAATGAAAATAATAAAAATTTAAATGTAATGTCCATATTTTTGTTCTCCGGCACATGAACTGAAATCAGCTGATTTCAGGGCCAGTGCAAGTGGAATCGATAAGCTGGATCAATAGGCAAACAGACCAACAATTCCAATAAACTAAACTACTGGGAAGTGGTTCTTCACAAGAACAGTGTCTTGATTCCCATCCCTAATCCTAGCCGACAAAAATAGTTTAATGATAAACTTTTTTGATTCGGTTTATCACAAGTGATGTAGGTCAGTGTCAGTGACAGCTGTCGTTCCGTTATTTGCACTCAGGTTATGACTCTGTAGCAGGCCCAATAATGCTTAGTTAGCTCTGCTGCAAAGTTCACAAAGCCTTACACTCTTACAAAACAATTCTGTCACCGATCATGGAAAGAGAGCTTAGTTCAGGGGTCTCAAACCCTGCGGGCCACTTGCGTCCCACGTCACCCCTACTTGTGGCCCATTTATTGAGTAAGGTGTACACTTATGTCTGCATTTTAATTTTGTTAAATACGAACAAAAGTATAGCAGACGTGTCTGCCCGGAAAGAGAGTACCAATTTGTTTATTTGGTAGTTAAATGAACTAAATAGCTTCAGTTAGTTAAGATTGAGAATGTGCAGTTTTGTCTTGTTATACAATATTTGAAATAAAAAAAGAAACAAAACACTACATTTTTGGAAATATTTGTGGGTGTTTTCTTGTTTTTTTGGTTAGTTTTTTTGTACTACTTGAACACTAAGCTTCAGTGAAAAGGAACAAGTCCTTCCTTAATATCAGTTGATGCTTGACTGCTTAGCTCACTTAAATATCTACATATGAAACAAGCCAATGTCTATTTGGAAATAAAGGAGGGCGTATAAGTTAATCTTAATTGATTATGATTCCCAACAGTTTGGAGGAGGATCGCTTAACTGTCTGGAGTTTGGTGAAAGCAAGCTCTCAACTATGGAGGGCTGCACTGGAAAGAAATGCCCCTGCCCTTGCCAGCATGGGAAGGAAACCCCAGAAACCCCAGACCCTGGGAAGATGACACGTCAGCTGAGTCACCAAAGCATCAACACAGTCGTGGCCTTTTCTGTGGTGTCACCTGAGATTAAACAGGCCATCGAGAGCGTCAAGTACATTGCTGAAAACATGAGGAGCCGCAACAAGGCCAAAGAGGTGAGGCATTCTCATCATTTGTCCGTGGACAGTAAGAGTTAACCAAATCAAATAGATGTTCCTATAGCAAAACACACTCACAACAACTCACTCAGGTTTCAATTTAAGACTTATATTAACAAAATAAAAAAAATGTATTTAAAAAGAAAAACATAGCATGTGCATTTCCTTTGCCCTCTTTGGGTTTGAAAGTAGTTGATAGGACAGTGGGGAAAGGGGTAACTGCTGTCATCTAAAACATCCAAGTAGAATTTTACCAAAATAAAGGTCAGCAAGGTTGCAAAATTCATATATATCAAATTTAGTTTAGCTCATCTATCCTCTTTCTGTGCACTGAGATTATAAAAGAAGTCCCAGTGTGATGAAATCTAAATCCATCATTACCATTTCTCATTGCATTTCTGATTCTTTTGTTTGTGAAAGAAGGTCTATGCCTTGGCTCTAGCTCCAGTAAACTAAAACGGAAACATTGCTCCATCAAATAAAATTTTAACGTGCAGCTGTTTTTTGTTGGTTATTCTCACAGTATGATGTTGAATTTAACTCCAGTTTATATGCACATTGTGTTTCCATTTGACTAAAACACAGTTTGACTTTGGCTTTTCTATTTTAGTAAGCAAATACTAGGCATACATTTGTCACACAGAAGATACATTGTTCCAGTAATTCTGTACTTTATATAAATGTACAGACATTCCTGGAAAACAAATACATAGTAAGCATCCATAATGTATTTATGCAAAACCACTCCATACTAACAAAAAAATATGCTGGCAGAGAGAGCTGTTGTATTGTTGCAGAGCGTAACCTGCTCTATAAGTTTACAACAATGTAAGTTAGAAGCAAATAATTTTAGATTTGCACTGAACAATCTCCCTCCTCTCTCTGTCAGTTATAAATAAAGTGGGTGAAATCTCCCACAAGGCAAAAAGGAGCCTTTGATATGCAAAACTCATGCCTCAATCAGCTTTGTCAAAACGCCTGTTGCTTATTTATTTATTTTTGACGTTGTGGTTTGAATGTGATTATCATAGTAATTTCTCCCTGTGTAAATTATGTATCAGTTTTCTGTTGACTTACGAGAAATTTTCAGCTGTTCTCTCTTCTATTATTTCCGTCTTCCTTTCCCCCCCACACTTTCTCAGTGTTACACTTCACCTCATTGACTCCTGTAACCTCAAACACACTGAGATATTGAATCACGTGCGTCTCTCTCACCATGCATGCCTTTTCACCTGCTTTTAAATGATCTCTGTTCATGTTTATCTCTCACTTCTAACCACTGACACTGTCTTTTTACACCTCTTATTTTGTCCCCTCCCTTACTTACAGGTGGAGGATGACTGGAAGTACGTCGCCATGGTGATTGACAGAATCTTCCTTTGGGTATTTGTGACCGTGTGCGTCCTGGGAACTATGGGCCTGTTCATCCAGCCTCTTTTTGGCTTTTTCTCATAACTGCTAGCCCGTCAGGGTCCTCAGTCACCCTGTGCATAGACCAATCTCAAACAAGTAACTAATGGACTCTCAGTTCTCATCCGACAAATCAAAAGACAGTTTAAGTCCTAAGCACTATCTGGTATGCTGGTTTTGCTGGTTTTTTGTGTTTTTTCCCTTTTGCAGCAAATAGAAATAAAGAAACAGTGAAGTCTAAAATGTTCTCGACACATAAGCTCATCTTTCGTGGTAAAACAGATTTTTCTATAACTCCTTTTTTTAACTCTTGACCATGTTTATTCATTTGTACTTTTAAAGTATCTTTAATACAAATATTGGACACATAATGATTTCCTGTGTAGTTAAATTTGTTAACAGCCTCAGAGACCGAGCTTTGTGGGTAAAATTCTAGCATTTGCACCCTCCTAAAAAGCAAAACCAGTCTACCTTATTACTCAGATCCATTTAGCTCTCAAAACATACATGCTAACATCTATATCGCTAAAATTGGCTCATCGGAACTGGGCTTTTCTAACCAGTGAGTGATCTTACAATCGTGACGTCCAACTTTTATAGTCCATAGGGGCAACGAAATTCACACAGCTTAATTTTGACCTATCTTTTCCTTTTGGGAAATTTTGTATACTGCTTTCATAAAATTTCTGCCTCTGGCAAAAAATAAATGTGATAAAGAAGTCAGAAACTCAGATTCATGCCTCATCCTTATTTTGCCAAAATATGTAATTGATTGTTTTTTGTATTGTAATAGATTTCTGTAACAGTCTGGCTCAGTTCAAAACTCGGCACACTGAATATTCCTTTAGGACTGGAACTCGGACATTCAGCAGATGCTTGGAACTTTGTACTTCCAGCAGAGATGATACAAAAACTGAACTTAACCCTGCAAGATTCCTCCTCTGAGCTGACTGATAACTGTCATACCCGTTACCCAGTCTGATTCATCAAGAATTCCACTGTCAGAGTCATCATGCTTGCTGCTTTTTTGTGCCATTTCCAATTACAGTTGAGACTACTGGCATGCTTGGCAGTGCTTTTACAGATAAGGGCAGGCTGTTCTTCTATTTGTAATTAGAAACCATACGTTTATAAATGTTCCACGAGGTAATTGGTTGGCCTGGTAAATATTGGATTAAATGGTATTTGATTAGTTGCTCCTGAAATAGCATTACATCTATTAATTCATGAGAGGATTCTATCATCCAATTCCATGGCGACTAATTTAATCTTCTTTTTTCTTGTCACTTTTGATTATTATGACGCACAAACGTGATGAAAGAAACATGTATCACAGAAGTTTTGATGGCTTTGACCTATGGCTGATGATATATTAATCTGAATTTTGGTTTTGCACATTGTGAGATGAACGGTATATTATTCATAAAAATCAAGATTTAATTGCTCTGGCTTTACTGCACAGCTCCATTTTTATCTCTCTCTCTCTCTCTATATATATATATATATATATTTATATATGAATTGTACAGCAATATAAGCTTAATTTAATTTAATATGTTTAATTTAATTTATCCTTCTTTTTCACATCATATTATATTATATTTTAATGTACCTGAAACAGACAGCCTTTGCTGAAAGAAGCAAATATTGTTTTTGCAAAGGAGCTTTGCCATTCTTTGTCAGACTGTCTGAATTTCAAAATAAAACGAGTATTTCTTCAAATAAAAGGGGTTGCATTTAACAGAAAAGGTTTGCGATGATGCTAAAAAAAATCTATGACTTAATTAAACCATTTTTAAAATATACACTGACTTACACTGTTGCATATGTGTGTCATTACTCTAACAAAAAGCCGCCAGAGGTATAATCAAGCCCGTTGTTGTCGTATGGAAGAGCATGTTGTTTTGTGCTATTCAGACATAATTTTAGTGTTAGGGTAAAATGCATAATTACACATGACATTGCCATATAATCATGATTATCAGAGGGTCAATCTCCCAGCTGCACATAGCAGTCATTGTTTGAATATTGCAATGAGTCAGTAATTCTATACTTAATGTTCCTTACAGAACACACTCATTTGCAGACATTTTCACGGCTGTGTTTTTTCTTCTACAACATAAAGTGAAACACCTCTTTGGGACTGTTAGCAAGAAGTGATATCCTGCCTTTTGCTCTCAGCTGGGAAGAACTGGAGAGTACTACTTAGTGCATACATTTCACGTAGTTATGACCTTTAAATAAATACATTGCAAAATAATTGTGATAATAAGTGTCATATTCTAAATTATGAAAAACCTGCTTCATATGTCAAACACATTTGGATGGTTCACCTCAGAAAATTCTGCAGTCTACACTAACCATTGCATGTTGTTTGTAATTGTCTTTTAACTTAAAACTAAAAGATAAAACGTATATTTTTAAAAAAAAATGCTTTATTGTTTAGTGATGATTATTCAATCATGATATGAGTATTTTTGTATTGTCTTTATGTTTATTGGGGTTTTTTGTAAATTAAATTATAATTAGAAAGGATTCTACAAATCCATTCATGCTCTTTCTCCACCTCACCTATTGGACCTTCTCCTTCCCTGCTCCTCATTCCTCAACTAAAGGCTTAGTCTCCATCCCCCACATCAGACCACAGTCCTTCAAGGACAGACCCTTCAGCACTGTTCCCCCCACTCTGTACAACATGCTTCCCTCTGAGATCCACTCTGCCCTGTCTCTGGGCATTTTTCAAAAACAGATACACTGTCATGTATTCACTGAAGCCTTTGGCCTTTGACCGTGGGTTTTTTTGTTGTTGTTTGTTTGTCTTTGTGTGTGTGTGTGTGTGTGTGTGTGTTTGTAAAGTGACCTTGGGTTCCTTGAAAAGCACTATATAAATCTGAGTTATTATTATTAATATTATTGTTATTGACAGTGCCATCATCCTTCAGGCTTTGGATTATCTCCTGGTCTTCTTTCTCCCTTTCAGTGTGACAATCGTTCTCTGTTTGTTCCTACTGGGTATCTTTCTCCTTTTCAAACTAATTATTCAGCTCTAGTCTGCAGCTAGCTCTTTTTGTAGACCACTGGTCATTTGCACTACCTATAGAGATCTAGGTGAACTCACCATGACAGGCAATATGTTTTTCTGTATCCTGCATTTTAATCTTTGAAACCTCAATCTGGGTGCGCAGAGCCTCATTTACTGCCTGACTCTACTTTAGCTGCTTGGCCCACTTGTGATGTGAATCTAATAGTACTATTATTGTTTTTGACATGTGTCACCTTGTGAAATGCTTGGACTGGCATTCTGCCTGGAATATTTAAGGAAGTTGTGATAAACATGAAAATATTTGAAAGTTCTCCTGCTTATTTCAGTTATTTTCTAATATTTTCACCTAAGTATAATATAAGCGCAAACAGCCACAGTCCACTAAGAGGCAGGACACAAGATTAAATAATGTATGTTATCAAACCCCAAGTTTCTTACTAGTCAAGTGTTTGTTATATTTGTGGAATATCTATGGTATGACTGCCCATCCTTCTAATATTACTAGAGCCTTTGTAGCTGAATGGGAGAAAACCTTAAAAGAATCGATGCTGTTAACAATGCTGATTAATGAACATGATTTTGCATTGACATGTTCAACAATCACAATAAGATATAATATTTTCCATGCACCACATTTTGTTTGTGACATATTTTAAGTCTTTTAACTAGAAAGCAGGCACCACAAGCCCTACCCTAAACTGTACTTCACCAATTTCACTGATTTTCTGCATTGCTGTACAGGAATGTGTAAAGCACAACATTTCTATATAAGCATAATGTGTGAGGGAACTTGCAGCACACTCACACTAACATGCAGCCTTACAAAAGATCCTAGTGCAGTTTGACTTACTCGAGTCTCTTCTGGTGCCATCAGAGCATGAAACACATGACCGTAGTTCAGAGGTTGCAGAAGCCTCAGTGAGGCCAGCAGCTAGGGACAGAGCTCTGGGCATGCAAAGGCTTGTCTGCAACATACTGTACATAGTGAGTGGCACAAAAAGATTTAACAAATGTTTATGGAGATTAACTAAGTGCTACAGAAAAATTAAAGATTATTTGGCCGGTATATTGTTTGCATATCTATGTTAGAGACATCATCCTTAGTGTTTAGATTTGCCTACAGTCAGTCAGATGCTCGTATTATGTTGTGCAAGGCTGTTATTGTTAAAGGGTCGTGACCAAGTTGGATCTAGAGTTGATCTTTTTGTACACTGTCCAGCAAAACTATGTAACAAAATAATACAAACTTCAACTTATTCGTCACTAAGTACTTGTTCAATAACTTTTCTGACAGAAAAAAAGATTTAAAAAAAACTATGTATTGTTGATAATAATCTAAATCAATCAAGAAATCAAGCAGACATTTTAATTAAACAAGCAAAATAAACAAACACATGCATCCAAACAATCAAATGACTCATAGAACCACAAAGGCGATAAATGGCCAAAGGAGATAGGACAACAGCCTGAACTGCTCCCTGCGGTTGTATTCACGCAAAGTTCACTGAATTTTTTAAATAAATGAGACAAAATGAGAGACAGAGGCAGGGCAGCTGGTGATGATGGAAACGTGGTGATATAAAGTTTTACTGCTATTGATTAACGTGATCATATTTATTTCTTCTTTTTGCATGTAAAAGAAAACATAATGCTATGTAAGGATTATAATGCGTCTTCATTTCCAAAAGTGGATGATTGGTTCAGAGAAAAATCATAGGTAAGCTTGATCTGCATTGTACTCCACACATGAGATCCATCGTTTTCCGCTGTAAAAACAGATGTGCAGTAGGGCTGATATTTCAATGACTTCACATATTGAAGTAATTTCCTCACCATCCCCTTCCGTGGGCAGTGCTGCACCACTTCCACCTCTGACAACTTGCAATTACACATTTGTATGAAGCTCACTCTATAGTATGTCAAAAAAAGGCCCCTTCCACTTGACTTTCATTTGGGGGAAGAGTAAACGGTCACATGGAGCCAAATCTGGCCTGCAGGGTAGGTGGTTAAAAATTCTGGTTTTTAATGAACTGTGACACATCGTGGCCATGGTGAGATCACAAATCTGCACACGTAACTGCACATTTTCAGAAAGAAAATAAAGAGACTGCACTTTAAGGAATGCAGCAGTGTGCCAGTTTTAAAAATCTAACCCAATCTGACAACTTTTCAGCCTATAGGCTAGGCACATGACTTGCCACTGGTTCAAAATGTATATCTTTTAAGAAGACAGTGTTGATGAAGGTGGTGGGCAAATTTAATTTTGGTATCTTTTTATGGTTTTTATAGTCACAGTCAATTTACTTCCTTTGGAAATCTTACATATCTGTAAACACTTCTACTGAGCAGCTATTTCATCTAAATTATGTGACTTTATTTTATCACATAATTATGCCGCAGGTAACACTTCAAGCCTGTGCTTGTGTGGTTTCTCCGGATGTTAGCAACATTAAATATATGATGTTGTGCATGAAAAATAAAGGTAAAACATTGCGATTAAAGGAAATTTGAGTTGGCACATTGATCCTGTCACGGTCGTCAGTGACCCAGTGTTTTGGATATATTAAGGTTTGATTTCTGTTTTGTATTTCTAGCTCTTAGGTTTTGGTTCCTGTGCTCAGTGCTCCCTCTGTTTAGTGTCTGGTGGGTGTCTCTGTACGTGCCCTGGTCCAGCCTTTCCTGCCTAGTCATCCTTATCTTTATGTTTTTGATGTACCATATCAGTATCGTGTGTCTTAGTCTGTCTGTAAGTTCTGTCTGTGTGTTTCCTATTTTACTTTGAAGGTCCGTGTCTCAGGTTAGTGTATTATGTCTCGCTTCCCTTGTCTCGTTTTGACCAATTAGATTCAGGTGTGTCTCCCTCCTGTGCACCACTTCCTTGTTGCCGAGTGTGTGTATTTAGTGTCCGTGTCTGCTCCTACTCATCGTTGCATCGTACCCTCATGCTGTGTGTTTCCCAGTGTCTCCCCATATACTTAGAATTCTCCTAGTTTAGTTTTGATATTGTTTTGTATTACTTCTGAGCCTGCAATAAAGCAGTGTTTTTGAGTTCACATTTTGCCTCTGTGAAGTCTGCGTTTGGGTCCTCATCTCCTGCCTGCACACATCGATTCATGACAGATCCAGTGTAGTTGTTTGGGTTTTGTTAGTGTGAAGCACACTAACAAACTGCCCCTCTGATCACAAGGAACAGTTGGCAGCACAGGAAATCAAACTCGAGATTTATGTTTCATTTTCAGTCTAGGTTTGCAAATTTCATGCACGTAGTGGTGGTTCTGGGAAAATGCCAGCTTTATCAGAAGCATTATCAGAAATCAAGAATTTGTCGCAGGAGCCTCATAATCTGTTTATCAAAGAAAGA